TTAAAAGATCCTTTCTTATATATATCACTTATAGGGACTTTAGGTATATTCCAAATTATGTAATTTGAATCTTGATTGGATTTTGAATTTAAATCAAATAAATTAAGTAATATGTTAAGTAATACATCTCTTAGCTTCATTATGATACATTTTTCTTTACTCATTTATCTCTTCTATTTTATACACACCCTTAATTTAGACGAAAAGGGCATTTAATGATTTTAAGATTTCTATTTAGAATATGTGAATTGTTGTACTCTAAACTCTCTGCCTTAGTATCTCACCTTTGTTCTCTGTAACTATAGGGTTCTTAGTTAATAGTTTAGGGGAATCTCTAAATTTCATTTGTCTGCCTTTTTTAAAAAATATATTATCTCTATATAGGGATGGATTGGAAAAAAATATCGATATATGTGGAGAATTCCAGATAAATTTTTAAAATTTATTAATATAATTCAAGTTATATAAAATCTTTGAACATAAGAATTCTTCTGAATTTTCAATTATGACAATATTTATAGGATGAAATAAAAATAGCCACAAGATATTCTACGTCCTCGTGAGTTTACAAGCCATTTACTCCCTCAAGTAAAATCCGATTAATTTTAGGACCATAGTTTTGGCGTCATAACCTCTTTAAGATACAAATTAACCTCAATAAAAAATATTTCTTGATTACACCCTCTAAGCACTTGAAAAAAATTATGTCTCAAGATTGAAATGAAACCGTCCAATTTAGAAGGTGAGATCTAAGTGTTACAAAACTAAAATTCCAATTTTTTTTAGAATAATTGATTATTAAGTGGCTCCCATAGGGAGTAGGTCACCTCACATAGGGAGTAGAACTGAACTATGCTCCCTGGGGAGCATAGGAATCGTGCTCATAAAAATATAATCCGGATGCCAAAAGTGCAAGACCGCATGCTCCTAAATTACTCATGGGATGGATAAAGCGCGGGAGATTATATAGGGCTAAAAGATTTCCTACTCTTTTCTAGGGAGTATATTATCTATTTGCTCCCTCGGGTAAAATATATGTTAGTAATACCTTTCAGAGCTCAAATTTTGATTACGTGACCTTTTACAACTTATAGAATAATCTCAGCAAAATAAATTTCAGAAATAGACTCTCTATGTGATAGAAAAACTAATAGCTCAAAATATAGGCTGTCCAATTTTTCAAACGCTAAATCTAAACGTTATAAAATTAAAAAGTAAATTCTTTTATTTTTAAAATAATCACTCCCCAAGTTTTAAACTAAAAAAAATCAACCTAGCTAGGTATATTGATTGAGTGAGTAGATGCAAGTACTCCTAGAAGAGCGATCATAAATAAGCTATCTCCAAAAGCATGTAACCATTCTATTCTTTTATATAGATATATGTATGGAAAAAATGAGTTCAACAGTTCAGATTGAATCTGAACCGATCTAACGATCACAAATGTCTAGTAGTGTTTGAATTTTATTTTATTTTTCTACAAATCCAAATCACTTGAAATTTTAGACGTATGTTATTTTCTTCAAACCGCACCTAATAAAAATATAAAAAAAATCATTTATGAAAAATAAATTAATCAAAATACCCCTGAAACATTTTGGGGGATTTTGGTAAATTTATTTATATAAGATATTTTTTTGATATTTTTCAAAGATTCACCTATTTGTTTGTGATGCACACATGCTCTAAATTTTAAGTGATTTGGATTTGTAGAAAAAATTTAAAATTAAAATACTATCGGACATCCGTGATCGTCAAATCAGGCCATATTTAATCTGGGCTGTTGGGCTCATTTTTCTTGTGAGCTAGTGGGTTCACCCTAGAATCTTCATATATATATATATATATATATATATAATCTAAACTTCACAACCCTTCAAATTATAAAGGTTCAAGATAGAGAGAGTTGTAAATGGGGGATTTATTAATTTTGTATTCTATTTTTTGAAAAAAGTTACTTTTGTGGGGTAATTTTGTAAATATTATTACAAAAAAAGGGTACTTTTGTCATCTAAAAAAGAGATAAAGTTGAAAATTTAACTAAAAGACGACGATACTCAACAAATAAAGTTTCACGACACTGACTTCCAAAATGCTATTATACTTTTATGAAAATTTTAAATTTGTCCTTGCTTGATGGTAAAGTTACATATTAAAATAATTTTTTAAACAAAAAGTAATGATTTTTTTGATAAATACGACAATCACAACCCCTTCTAACTTGAACCTTTGTACTTTTATGAAAATTTCAAATTTGTAATTGCTTAATGGTAAAGTTACCTATTAAAATAATTTTTTGAACAAAAAGTACAATCACAACCGTTTCTAACAACCCTTCAAAATATAAAGGTTCAAGTTAGAAGGAGTTGTGATTGGTGTATTTACAAATGTTCAAGTTATAAGGGGTTGTGATTAGTGTATTTACAAATGTTCAAGTTAGAAGGGGTTGAGATTGGTGTATTTATTAAAACAATGATTACTTTTTTTACTAAAAAATTTATTTAAATAGATAGTTTTACCATTAAGCAAGAGCAAATTTGAAATTTTCACAAAAATGCAATAGCATTTTAGAAATTAGTATATTAGAACTTTATTTGTAGTGTGTCATTGTCTTTTAGTTAAAATTTCAATTTTACCCTCTTATGAAGATGACAAAAGTACTATTTGTCTTGTATTAATATTTACAAAATTACCCTACAAAAATAATTTTTTTTAAAAAATAGACTATAAAATTAATAAATCCACCGTTCACAACTCTTTCTATCTTAATCTTTTGTAATTTGAATGGTTGTGAAGTTTAGATTATCCCTATATATTACATATATATATTGGTAATTCAATGAGGAAGACAACCCCTACCCGGTTTTTCAATAAATTGGGGAGTTATATTTTGTGAACACTCTTTTCTATGATGCACTTTACATGAATGCACATTCTCTCTCTCTCGTTTTGGATGGGATTTCTATGAGTCCATTGACTTATGTACAGATGCGGACCCCTCTAAAATTCATTTTAAAGATGAATTTTTTATCTAATTGTTTGTAGATTCATTATATAGGCCAAGATATCATGAGTATAAAAAATAAATAAATTTATTAAAATTAAAAATATAAAATTTTGGTATATTTTTATGCATTGTCTGTATGTTATTTGTCGATTATACACTTTACATAACGTTTATCTTTAGGATGGACGTTTGTAAGTCAGCATACTCTCGCGCCCGCTCACTTATGGAACACTTTTCCTATTTATATATTTTTAACATTATAACAATATGTAACTAATACACTTTGACTCTCTTTATAATATTGTTCTCTCTTTCCCTCCACCCCTTATGATAGCGTTATCAATATCTTTACAAAATTATTGGTATATTTTTAATTACTCACTCTTATGTAAAGGATTTTTTATTAATGGGAAAGTATACAATGAGATCATTTATCTTTAGTACAAGTGGGCACAATTAATCTTGAGCATTTGATATGAAATTGAATTTGACAAGGAGTGTATCGGACCGCATAAAAAAAATGGAGAGAAAAAAAGAGATAGAGAGAGGGTAGAGAGAAAGAGAGAGAGAGGGTAGAGAAAGATAGAGAGAAACAAATGGAGAGAGAGTAAGAGAGAGAAATAATGAGGGAGGATAGAGAGATAGAGAGAGAAACAAATGGAGAGATAGTAAGAGAGATGACGGTGGAGAGCGGTAGAGAGATAAAAATAAAATAAAAGGAAAAAAAATAAAAAGAAGACAATTTTGTCCAAAAACTCATTGACATTTTAATTGGAAGGTAAATGCAAGAAAGAGTAGTGTTGAGATTTATGGTACAATATAAAAAAATATGGAAAAATATGGCTGTACACCCTAATTGCATGAACTCTATCTAACAGCATTAACCTATCTTCTAACCCTTTAGCCCCGTTAATCCAAAAGTTTTGCTCCTTATAACATTTTATTTGTCTTAAATAAATACACAAAAGACATCCATACCGAACCTCGCCCACATCGCTCCTCTCTCTCTCTATCGCCATCCCTGCCCAAAACTTCTATCAAACTTTTAAGAGCGAGTTTGATAGAAAGCAAAAAAAAAAAACATCTATCAAATAAGTATCAGAGAGAGAAAGTAATGAGAGAGAAACCCTAAAGAGAGGCGGGAGGGAGTATGAAAATCCAGAAAAAAGCGAAGAGAGATGTAAAACTACAAATTTTTTTTAAAAAAAATACATAGATATATAATTAGAGTAGAAGAGCTCATCCTAAGAGAGAAGCATTAGAGAGAGAAAACATCCAACTAGTGGGATAGAAGAGAGGGAGGGAGCCAATAGAGAGATGGAGAGAGATTCATTGAAAACATTTGCCTCCAAAAAGTATAGGGTTTGGGGGAGAGATGGCATGAGAGAGAGACAGAGGAAGGACACAGAGTATAAGAGCGAGAGAGAAATGGTGAGGGAAACGAGCGAAAACGGCGTGAAACAAGATAAAGAGAGATATTGGATGTTGATGTCATTCATAAATTTGTTTAGGGTAAAAAAAAAGGTCACAAAAAACAAAATATTTGAATTAATTGGGATTAGAGGGTAGAAGATAGGTTTTTTTTAAATGTTAGTATCTGTTGATAGACTTTAATTTGAGGGTCTAAGATACGCTAAATTAAAGTGTATAAAGATATTTTTTCAAAAAAAAAACATTGAGGTAGGACGGGTAGAAAGTTGATTTTAGTTATATTTATTTTTATATTTCATAATATTGTGAGGATATATAGACCTTTAACAAAAGATGTAGGGGTATTATTACCATTTTTCATACTAGAAAATTAAACGTGACACGGATGCCATGTGAAGCGTCCTCGTTCTTTACCTCCCAGCGCCCGCCTTTAAATTCCCCACCATTTTCTCTCTCTCTCTCTCTAAACTTCTCTCAATTCATCTCCTCCCTGCACTCTCTCTCTCTTTTTATCTTTTCCTTAATTCTCTCCCCTCTGCACTTTCTCTCCACACTCTCTCTCTCTCTAAATTTATCGTTTTCCTTTAATTCTCTCTCTAAATGTCTTCATCTATACTCTTTCTGTAATTCTTCTCTCTCTCTCTCTCTCTCTCCTCTAGCTCTGCAATCCCGTCGTCAAAATCCCTACCTTTCCCTCTCTCTATCTCTCTCTACAACTTCGAGAAAATGTGTGGGATTTTCGCTTACCTAAATTACAATGTGTTTAGAGAGAGAAGATACATATTAGAGCTTCTATTCAACGGCCTTCGTCGCCTGGAATACAGAGGCTACGATTCCTCAGGAATCTCCATTGACTCAGATCCCTTCCCCTGTTTGACGGATCCCCTGTCTAAATCCCCCATTTCCCCCTCCCCACCCCTCGTATTCAGGCAAGAGGGAAAGATCGAGCATCTTGTTCGCACTGTGTACCAAGGTTTGTTGAATTTTTGTCATGATTTTTGTTTTTAAGTTCTAGACTTTATTATTAATGTGTTATTAATGGTTCCTCGGATTAGGTTGTTTTTTTTTGTGACATTGCTGGCTTTCAAAACCAATTGTTTGTTTTTTCTCAGAAATGTATGATGGATGCTTTAGTGGAGTTAGGGGTTTCTATGATCACGTTTTCTTCTTACTCAGTGGACAAAGGAAGCCTTTTCTGGTTTGGAATTGCTTTTTTTTTTCTTTCTATATGTTAATTAGTTGCATGGTTCATTGATTGAAGTTGTAGAATTGAGGTTTTAGGGTTTTTCTCTATATGTTAATTAGGTACATGTTTCATTGATTGAAGTTGTAGAATTGAAGTTTTTAGGGTTTTTTTTATAGCATTTTATTTTGTGCACGCCTCTTCTTTTAGGCAGTGAATTTATGGGTCAGTGTTTGTGGGATTTCTAGTAATATTCATTTTTTGTTATGTTATTCTGGGCAATGCATTTGGCCCCCATTTTCTGCAATAAAAAAAGAATTGAACTATTGTTTATTGGGTTTCTGGGGTCCCTATTATAACTTTCTTTCTTTTTTTTAAAATTTGGTTTCAATATAATTAGTCTAATTAATTTTTTTCTGTGTTGTTTTATGAAATTTTCATTATTTTTCTGAGTATATAAATAATTTTTGGAGTTGCAGAGGCAGATGGGATGGATCTGAATATGGAGGAGAGGTTTCAGGTGCATGCAGGGATTGCACACACGCGATGGGCGACACATGGGGTCCCCTCACCAAGGAATAGCCATCCTCAATCATCCGGAGCAGGGAATGCGTTCTTGGTAGTTCATAATGGAATTATTACTAATTATGCGGTATGCTTTATGTGATTCTCATTTTTTTTTTATAATTATTGTTATTGTTATGAGAGTTATGGGTTCCATTGCAATTTGATGTTCTTTATTGTTTATAATAATTTAGTGATTAACATTGCCAATTGAGTGTTGTTTTAATTTTTCTCACTAGAATTAACCACCATATGCATGTGAAGCAAGCTAAGTCCTAGTGCATATTTTGTAATTTAAATATTAAAAATATATTATTTTAAATGGATTTGTAGCACTTCCAAGTGACTGGGATATTTTGTTTCATATTTTGGAATCTCTTTGGAAGTTAGGATAAATTTATAATTTTCTAAGCCTCAAATTGTTTTTTCTAACATGCTTTGGCTTGTTGCATCACATTAGTACACTTCTTTGCAAGTATTTTGAGGACTAAAATAGTTCACTCTGTTGTCTATGTTCAGGTTTTGAAGGAGACCCTTATTAGGCATGGATTTGAGTTTGAGTCAGAAACTGATACAGAAGTCATTCCAAAGCTAGCAAAGTTTGTATTTGACAAGTTAATGGAACACAAAGCAGATGATGCTGAAGGTGATCTTTATTTATACATCTGATTTGGTTATGTGTTTCCTCTCTCTCTCATTCTAAAGTGACAGGCTGTTCTGTAGGGAACCGCGTTTTATATATATCTATAGATAGAAAATACCCATTCTTGGAACTCGTCTTCCATAGTAAATCTATTTTTACCATATTTCTTTTAACATTTCCTAAAATCCTTGATGATAGTGTTGGAGGTCTTCACATCTATTTTTCTTGAAGTATTGGTGTTACAGGTGATCAGAATGTCTCTTTTAGTCAAGTGGTTATGGAAGTTATGAGGCAACTTGAAGGAGCATATGCACTAATCTTCAAGAGCCCACATTATCCGAATGAGTTGATTGCATGTAAACGTGGTAGTCCATTGCTTCTTGGTGTTAAAGTAAGATTTACTGTATAATTTTTATTTTAACGTGGAGAGAGTGAATACTTCTTTTGGTAAGTTTTATTTTAACATGGAGAGAGTGAATACTTTTTTTTTTTTTACCAAGCTAGGGTAGAGAGAGACTACATGGGTTCTTTAATGGAAGAAATTACTTGAGCAAGGAAAAGGAAATAAATTTTCTGAGACAAGTTCAGAATGAATCATAGAGAAAGTTTAGTTAACTGTTGGATGAAGTTTAGTTTGTCATAAATGAAAGTAATCTTGACATGTGGCTCATTGAATACTAAATAGAAGAGCTTATGTTGACGTATTATCTGCATTTTGTTCAGTTACCATTTGGTTTTGTTAGAGAAATATTAGAATCAAGAAATGTTTTCAATCTTGGGTTGGGCCTTGTACTCAGTCCTGGCCCGAGCCGAGTAACTCAGTCGAGTCGTCGGACTCAGCCGAGTCCTGTAGAGGTCAAAAGAGGGAAGAAAATCCAAAAAAAATGTAACATATTTGTTAAACATATTAAAAAATCAGCAGAAAGTAAAATAAGTAATAGGAATCAATTAAATTTTATAAAAGTCCAAAAACATATGAACAGATGGATTATTGAATAATCTAAATTTATAGCTTGAAATGTTTCAAAAAATAAAAAAAGGAAACAATAAACAATTTGGAGCATGCAATAATAGAAGTTCCCAAATACTCATAAAAACCATATAATATAAAAAAAGACATAACTTATCAAGATTTTTTAAAAAAATTAATGGCTTTAATATCTTTTAACAGGGTTGAGTTGTTCCCTGGAACTCGCCTTGGCCATACCTATTTTCTTGGTCAGTCGCTTGGACTCGGTGAAGTCTTGAAACATTGGGATAAAGTGTAGGTTCATAATGCTAGGCAAAATTCACAATTGACCAATCCTTGTCCTTACTTTATGGGGAAAATCAAGAATGAAATGTCCTAAAAAGTTTTCTTTATATTTGGTTAGTTTTTCTTTATTCTTCCAGAGTTTCCCAATTTGAACTCTTATTTCCATCCGATTATCTTTATTCTTGTTTGGCACTAAGCCTTCATATGGTTATTTGCAGGAGCTATCTGAAGACTCGAACAATGGAGCATCATTTGATGATAGTGAGTTCCTCATGAAGAATGAGAAACCTAAAGAACTATTTTTCGCAAGCGATGCTAATGCTCTGATTGAACACACAAAGAAAGTGTTGGTAATTGAGGATAATGAAGTTGTGCATCTTAAGGTATTCTTCAACACTTCCATCTTATCTATAAGTTTGACATAATAAAAAATAGTTATTCAAATGTACATCTGACAATTTCCATGATGAACATTTTTAGCAAGGTGTTGTTTATAATATGGAAATAAATATGAAGTATGTTGTTTATGCTGTTAGTAGTATGATTTCACTCTTTTCAGAGATGCATATACATTTGGTAATTATTTTCCATCATTTTAGTAACCGTTTTCCACATGCATGGAAGCTCAATTTGTTATGCTTAATACTGGATTGAACATCGTAATATATTGTCTTAGGTATGATGTGGTAGTCGCAGAGATAAGGCATCACTTCCTGCAAATATATTTTAATCCTGGTAATGCAGTTTAATCATAGCTGAGTTATGTGGACCATTTCCTCATTTGGACAAGCCATGACCTATAACCTTCTATAGGGAAAAGCTAAAAAAGAGTTTCATGAAGTTTTTGATATTGATGATTGAACAATTCCAATTGTAAACAAGAGCGAAATATAGTGTGGAGGGCTCTTTGCTTGCAAAATATGAAAATTGTTTGCGAAGTCTATGGAGTCTTTTCTGAAGAGAAAGTCATAGGTGGATCAATCATCCTTTCTCGATCTTGTCTGACAAATGTCTTTGAATGGAAATGGTCAAGCTTCTATTTACAAGTTAATACCTTCTAGAATGACTCATTTGATTGTATCCATCTGTTTCTGCTTCTTTTAGCAAGTAAACTCCTTTATTGGTTTTGCATCAATTAAATCCATCATTAAGACTGAAAATCCTTTTTCAGTTTATGATTGAAAAGACTATGAAATTGCTAACTCAAACAAAATGGGTGAATTCTGAGATTACTCAAAATATTTACCAAACTGTGTGTGATCCTAGAAACATGCATTTTGAGTTTGTCTAAAGTAAACGAAGTGCGGAGTGGCATTTGGCATTTTGCGCAGCTTCTTGCCTGGGAACCCCATTTGCCTATCTTGGCAAGATGCCAGGGAACCTTGTGGCACATACATGTGTACGTGCACACATGTGCTGAATTATGTATGATTTTGAATTTGTTAAATAATAAATTTCTGAGTTTGTAACTAGCTATAATTTATGGCTTATAGTTTATATCTTAGTACTCTGTAGATTTTGGTTCCTATTAAAATTGCCAATTCGATGGATACGGCATGTCAGTCCACTGCATACAATAGAGGAAAACAGGGGCTAGAGGTTCTTTCGAAATTCATTGTATAACAACTCCTAGAAGCAGTATTTTGATGCCCACTGCATTGTAAAAGGTGCTACCACAATCTACCCTGTTGATCACTATAGGAATTTTAGAGCTATTGCCTTTTAATGTCTTAGATATCCCTTTCCTAGCACGGCCTTGTAGTTTCGTTAACTAGAAAACCATGCCTTGTAGTTTCGTTAACTAGAAAACCACACGACTAGGATAAATAGAATGTCTCCTCGCCCATGTATCTATGATTACTGACAGCATTGGATTTATAAACTGAATGCAGAAAGTAACATGATATGCTTTTTGTTCAAAAAGCAACCTTACATTACTGAGTGCAGTGCATAGCCATATGATTTACTTATTGAGATATTTGAATGCATTCACAAATAAAAGTTTATACCAAATTTATATACTAGCGGTATGCCTAACCTATACTTTGTCCAATTAGTTACTGCAAATTATAACATTCAGAACTGTTTCATGTAAGTTTTAATCCTCATCGATATGTTAGCTGGATTCAGACCTTGGATGTTGTGCTGTAGTCCTCAGTGTCGTAACTCCTAAACATTGATACACGAACTCAAGCCCCATAAATAGTGGATTATTCAGACGTTGTGCTTATTCGTCAGTGGTCACAATGAGCCTCGTACAAGCTTGCAATGCCCCATTGTCACATAAGTCGTAATGTAATCAATCACAAATTGGAGTGCATTCACTCACAATGTCTTAACATGAAATCTATATTTTGGAACGGCAGACATGTTTCCAGTTCATGTCAATGCTATATGTTAATATGATTGATTTTCTTGAATAACTTGTATGTGCATTTTGAAATCTTGAAATTGGCAATGTGAGTTCAACTTTATCCTGAATATTTATTTCGACCATGTCAGGATGGAAGTGTATCGATCCTCAAGTTCGATACCGACAAGGCCAAAAGTGTTGGTGGTCTTCCTAGACCTGCATCTGTACAACGTGCATTATCTGTTCTCGAGATGGAGGTTGAGCAGATTAAAAAAGGTAGCTACGAGCATTTTATGCAAAAAGAGATCCATGAACAACCTGAGTCTCTAACCACTACAATGAGAGGGAGGCTTATCAGAGGTGGGTCTTGCAATGCAAAGGGTGTCCTCTTGGGTGGGCTTAAAGATCACTTAAAAACAATTAGGAGAAGCCGACGAGTTATTTTTATTGGCTGTGGTACAAGCTATAATGCAGCTTTAGCAGCAAGACCGTTCTTGGAAGAGCTTTCTGGTAATTAATGTTTTGACAGCAACCCATGTTGACTTTACTAAGAATAAGTACATTATAATCCAATGGACAATGGAAAACCATCAGGGTCATGCACATCCATTGAAATGTTAGATGGTGATAAAGGGGGAGTGGTACTTACCATTAGTATCATGCCCTGATCTGATGGGTCCAATCTCTGTGCATCACCAATCATTACTTCATTGGGTTTTCATGCCCCCTATGGACTATCCATTTCCTAGTACATTGTGTTATCATTAATATATATTCCCTTTTAGTAGTATAGTTATAGTCATGGTCTTTTAGTCTCCAATAATATTTTACTGTATCTAAGTATTTGAATTGCAAATTAGGCGTGCCTGTTTCTATGGAACTTGCAAGTGATTTGTTGGACAGGCAAGGGCCAATTTACCGAGAAGATACAGCTGTTTTTGTTAGTCAGTCTGGAGAAACTGCCGACACTTTGCTAGCCCTTGAATACGCCTTAAAAAATGGGGCATTATGTGTTGGTATTACAAACACTGTCGGCAGTGCCATAGCCAGGAATACTCATTGTGGGGTCCACATAAATGCTGGGTGTGAGATTGGCGTGGCTAGTACTAAGGTGATGCTCTTATTTCATATGGTATGCATTTTCTGGGAAAGACTAAAATGGAAAAAAATAAAAATAAAATATTAAGGTCCAATAATGCCATTCTGGTTTCCTTGTATAAATTATATTTTCGCTTCTACAGGCATACACAAGTCAGATTGTTGTGATGGCCATGCTTGCTATAGCAGTTGGAGATGATGCTATATCGAGTCAATCAAGAAGAGAAGCTGTCATAGATGGCTTATTTGATCTTCCAAGTATGTCCGAAATGCGATACTTCGATGACTTAACATTAACATTACAATTTTGGATTAATCTTGGATTTTTTTCATTGAAGTTTTGACTGAAATTCTGCCTAGTACACTTAGAAGAAATTATACCTTCTCCTCTGTGTAAGCTTCATTGCTGCCTCTCTCCCACTCGTATCTAAGCTCCCATGCTATAAGTGTGTGTGTGTGGAAAAACTACGAAACTCCTTTTAGCATTTTTCCACAGTAGAGGGCTTCACACTGAACCATTTTTAATTTTGTTTTGCTTTCCATCAATTGCATTGGACTTAAATGTTGGCATCCATACTTCCAACAAGGTCCACCCGTTAGAAACACAAAAAATATTTCCAATAAAATAAAATGACCAAAATAACCTCAAAATTTTAGGAGATTTTTGATCATTTTGTTTTATTGCAAATATTTTTTTTAGGTTTTTTAACGTGTGCCCTTGTTGGAAGTGTGGACGCGTGGATGCCCAGAGTTTGAACTTGATTGGGCTTCTAAATAAAATAAAATAAAATTCAAAAAGTTGATGCATTCAATCGTCTTATTAAGATCGGATGGTTGATATTGATAGTGCTCCACTATAGAAAAACACGAAAAGCGCTTTGTACCTTTTTCCTCTCTCTCTCTCTCTCTATATATATATATATATATATATTTATAGGGCAGTGATTTCATGCAATAGTTGTATAGAGATATAATGCAACAACCTTAAAAAACCATGTTAAGGCCATTTGTTTGATCCAAATTTTAAAATATACACTCTTTTCATTCTAATGAACAATTACAAAAAGAAAAATTTGAAAATGCAACCTAGAAAGTATTTTTTAGCTCAATTAGTATAGGCTGTCCATTTTGGTGAGATGCTTAGATCAAGGCCTTAGAATGATCTTTTTTTCTTTCCAAGTTATTAGATAGTTTTATTATCATTAGATTAACAATATTAAAAAAAAAAAATCATTTTGAATTTATAAAGGCCTAGATCTTTAAATTCATCAAATGGACGGTCTAGATTCATTGTTGGAGGGGACTCATTTGGAGCATATATAGGGTGCAAATTAAGTTTTTTTTTT